TGCACGGGTCTCACTCCTAATGCTGGCCACATATTAAAAGTGAGGGACCAGCAATGTGTGTGAGCAGAGGGCTCAGAGGACCAAGAAACATTCTGATTCTCAGCAGTAAAACCTGGAACCTGAAGGGAAGCCAGTGAGCAAAAAGTGTGAAGTGATATGAAAGTATTCCTGAAGCTTTAGTTTCAGTTTTAGTTAAAGGTCACAGCAAGTGCAGGTTTTTTATGTGCTGGTAGTGCAGCGTTTGCAAAACTGAAGAGGTGGTTGGATCATATTTTTTATTTATTGAAGCCGCGATTCCAAAAATCTGGAAAATCATGGCACTGGAAATTGCCATCATGATTTCACTCTGACTGTGGCCTTTTCTGGTTCTTATTCTAAATTTTATAAGATCGCATGCTTTAGCTCAGGGGTGTCGAACTCCAGGCCTTAAAGGCCGATGTCCTGCAGGTTTTAGATGTGTCCTTAATCCAACACAGCTGATTTAAATTCTAAATGACCTCCTCAACATGTCCTGAAGTTCTCCAGAGGCCTGGTAATCAACTAATCATGTGATTCAGGTGTGTAGACCCAGGGTGAGATCTTGAGATCTGACGTGTTCCTGTGTTTTTAAAGGGACTTTTTATAATTACACAGAGAATTTAACTAAAACTTTAACCACCATGGGGCAACAATTTATCAGTTGAGTGATCCCCGTTTAACTTGGTCATCTTTTCTTTTTAGCCTAAAAATGTGTTGAAAGCTTACACAGGCCTACTGCATCATCTAGTGGTACAAATGGAAATTGCATGAAATCGCAGCCCAGGCCTCGTTTAACTTTAATTGGGTTCTTTACAATATAATGCACAAATCTGTTGAAATTTCACCAGACTTTTAGCTCTCAAAACTATGGTGAACCTATTAACTAGTAAAATTCCTTTATATGGTCACTGAGTCATACAAAACAGCTGCGGCTGCTATGAGACAAATATCTGTTTTTGAATTTGCATCAATTCACATCTTTGCATATGGAGGTTTTGCAGGCATGTGACCCCTAACCATGTGACATTAACCTATTTGCCATTTTGGATGTGTTACAATCATGGTGACAATGTCAGGCCTAAGTCACATAGGCCTAACGACCAGTCTGCACTATGGTCTAAATGTCTAACCCCCGATTGGTCGGTAAAAATTTCCTTGCAGTTTA